GCGTTGCGGCGACTCTGGCTGGGCTCCTTTTTAGTTTTGAAGGAAAGAGTCGGGGTAGGGGTGGGGGTTTCGGGCGTCCGGACCAGCCGGGTCCGCGAAATGTAGCACAAGTGCGGCCCAGGGCGGAGTACCCCCGGGGCGCGCCCTTTTCTAGAGGCGTGTCTGTGTGTACACAGTCAATAAAACAATCGATTTGAACTGGGCTCGGTGACTCTTTGTCAGCGGACTGAGGGAGGAAGCCTGGGGGAGGGTGCCCGAGGAAACCGCAGAAGCAAGGCGCCCGGAGCCCCCTCCCGTTGGGATCCTTTGTGAAATCGTGTGTTGGTTTGTCCCGGGATTTTGTCAGTGTCTACAGCCGGCGCCTGCTCCTGTGCCTCCAGTGTGTGGGGGACGGGGGAGCTGGGGGAAGGCGGAGTGAGTGAGATGGGCTCGCAAGGACGGGGGTCGGGGGGTGGTGGGGGGTGGTATCTCTGCAGATGGAACATAAGAAACTCTGGGGCAGCGGTTCTCAACCTGTGGGTCGAGACCCCTTTGGCGGTCGAACGACCCTTTCACAGGGGTCGCCTAAGACCATCCTGCATATCAGATATTTACATTACGATTCATAACAGTAGCAATATTACAGTTATGAAGTAGCAACGAAAATAATTTTATGGTTGGGTCACAACATGAGGAACTGTATTTAAAGGGCCAGAAGGTTGAGAATCACTGCCTGGGGTGTGTGCGTAGATGAGTGTCTGAACAATTCTTTTTGGGTTGACCCTGTCACTGTCATGGGGTGTGGCTGTGTATGTGTGTGTGAGACAGAGAGAGAGAGAGAGAGAGAGAGAGAGAGAGAGAGAGAGAGAGAGGACTGCCTAGTTTCTGTCTCAACACTAGCCTCTTAAAGTCTCTGAAAAGCCAGTGGAGAGATTCACAGGAAAGACTTCTGTGGCTTGCACAAAAGAAGTCACAAATAACTAGCTACAGAGCAGGCAAATGATAGCAGAGAAGGGGCAACCTGGCAAGTTGATTCCACAGAACAAGTTGGTACCTTTAGCCCAGGAGCCTAGTGCCTGTGCAGGAGTGTTGGGGGGTGGGGGGTGGGAAGGGATTGCTTAGTGAATGGTTCATGGACAACTGTAAGGGTGTGCGAGGCTGCCAGGTGGGCTAAGGTGGAATAGGTTGAAAGCACACTGATTTAATAGACTCAGAAACGGGGCTTCTTGGATGGGCACAGGAGAGACAGAGGGGTCCACAGTGGGTGCTGTGCTCTGGATCAAGATCAGCCTAAAGTGCTGTAGTTTGACTGGCTGTGTGTCTCAGCTGAATCTCCCTGTAGGACAGGGAGTGGCCAGGAACGGAGATGGAAGAGGAAAAGAATAGAAATGAGGGGAGCAAATGAAGCTTCCATCCTACTTCCTCTGCGGGTGCTAGGTCTTCCTAATAGGACCAGTCCAGGCTGGGGACCAGGCCCAGGTCCAGACACCCAGCAGCTATCCAAGCCTGTGTCCTGGCAGAGGTGGTGACTGACACTCCCTAGGACTGGGCCCAGGTTCCCTGCGCAGACCAGCAAAGCTTTCCTAGGGGAAAATTCCCTTCTGAGAGCCACAGCCCAAGCCTTGCCTCTGGAGCCTACCCCCCTGTCAGGGACACAGCTCAGGAATATAATCTTTTAGGAAAGGACTGATTTATTCCATCTGAAAATGCTGCCTTTGAGCTGGGACAGGGACTGGCCCAGTTCATATGATTGGTTTAGGAATCCACCCACACGATTTCATTTGGGCACAAGCCCCAGGTGCTTATTGTTTTGGTCCCACCCAATTGTCTGTCCAAGGGAATGGGGGGAAGGGAAGAAGGGATCCTTCCTGTCCCCCCTAGGATTCTGAGTACTGCCCCCCCCCCCTAGGGAAATGTGCAGAGATGCTGAGGGGTCTGTCACTTCTTTCTGTGTTTTGGGCCAAGCTTCCTAAGGATGAACACACACTGCTCGTCTAGGCCTCATGCTCCCTGAGCAAGGTCAGGCCCAAAGGCTTTGCCCATAAGACAGGAATGGGTGGGTGCTGGAGGTAAAAGACCAGCATGCCATGACCCTCCCCTGACTGCCCATTGAGATACCAGTCCTCTCAGAACTCTCCCATTTCTGTCTGAACGTTTGGCACAAAATGGTCCCCAGCCTCTGGCCTTCCTTCTTGTCTCCTTTTAAATTGTATTCTTTCATTTCCTTCCCCTCTCTCCTCTGTGGTCTCTTTTTCTTTCTGCCTCTCCTTTTTTTCCTCCCTCAAGAATTTCATAAAATCCAAGGGTTGAAATGATGAGGAAAATAAGACGGGGGGCGGGGCGGGGGGTAGCAGCCTGACTCTGTACCTAGTTAATCAGTGTCCCCAGTGCACATTCTGGTTAGCCTATGGTCGAGTCGCTGCCCCTTCCTTAATTGTCTGGTCTTGCAAGACCTATTTACCTAAATACTCACATTTTACAGAGGCCATAAACCATGAACCATACACAACCCCCAGAGGGGGTTATCAGCACTGGCACCAGGCCAGGCCTTTAGGTGTGGTCTCACAGCCCCCATCCCAACACACAGGGATTTTTGCAAAGTCCTCAAAAGATCCGGAAGTCTGATCCTTATTGGGGGAACAAAGAGGCCAAAGAGTATAAAGAGAAAGCTTCCTCCATATTGGTTTGCTCAGGATTTGGAAACAGGCTTCCCTGAGTCATGGTACTAGTACATCTGGAAATAACTTTTCCCCCCCCTGTATCTCCAAGTACTCCTGTGTGTGTATTTTCCAGTCATCTGGTAAATTCTGTAACAGAAAGGGACCCTGAAGACTTGCTAATCTATTTACCCACTTGGGGTTCATTCTTTTTCTACATTATCCCCCTTAGGCAGTTGTACTCACAGAGTTGGGAGCTCACTATTCATGCCCTCCCTTCAAGGAACCAATTGTTGAGCAGTGTAACATGTGTCTCTTCCTCAAGTAACCCCTAAGCCTGACTCTGTCACTGGCATGTGCCCTGTGAGAACCTGCAGAGGTTTGGAGGTGTAATCCCCACCTCCATCCCTCATTCCAGAGCTCCCAAGCTTTTCATTCACAGAAATTTTTTGAGCACCTAGTGCAGCCGTGGGCAAACTACAGTCCACGGGCCGGATCCTGCCCGTTTGAAATGAATAAAACTAAAAAAAAAAAAAAAAAAAAAAAAAGACCGTACCCTTTTATGTTATGATGTTTACTTTGAATTTATATTAGTTCACACAAACACTCCATCCATGCTTTTGTTCCGGCCCTCCGGTCCAGTTTAAGAACCCATTGTGGCCCTCGAGTCAAAAAGTTTGCCCACCCCTGATCTAGTGCATCAGGTGCTGTGCTGGCTTAGCTTTCTCCAATGTGTTTTGTCAGAAAACTGATTTGGATGCAACATGGGAATGGAGTCTAATGGGTTGAAGAGTATGTGTGTGTATGTGGGGGGAGGGGGTAATTGGAAAATAGAGAATGCAATAAGACAGCAACAGCCTTGGTACTCAGAGCAATTTATCAGGGGCAGTCATTCTCTGAGCTGTAGAAACCAGATGCCCTGCCTAGGAAGTGGCCTTGAATCATATCGGAAACCTGCCTGCAGAAAGGTGACTTGAAAGGAGTGCCTCCCACTCCAGTGTCTCCT